AAAGGGCTGAGCAGGTCGACACCCCATTGAGCAAAGGGCCAGGGGGATGTAAGAAAGGATAGCATTTCCCCTGTTTCAAGGAAGATACTTATGCTCAGTTTATAGGCAAACAGGAAGTTTGCATGAACTTTAGAACAAGCTCAAATACCTGGCATATGTATATCATCAGCACTGAATTGGCAGGTCGGACATTTTTTGACATAGTTCTGCGCGTCCTCAACCATGGTGGGTCAGTAATAACCATGTCTCAGGAGTTTCCGAGCTAAAGTTTTACCGCCGATGAGCGTGCCACATACTCCTTCTTGAACTTCTCTCACAGCGTATTCAGCTTCATAAGGAGTGAGGCAGCGTAGTAGGGGCATTGAGGCTGCTCGCTTGTAGAGCTGGTTATCTAACAAAGTGAAATGTGCCGCCCTGCGTTTAATCAATTTTGCAGCGGACTGGTCTTCAGGTAGCTCGCCACTTTGTAGATAATTTATGAGCGGGGTGGTCCAGCTCGACGTAGAGGGGTCTGTGCTTAGCAACTGACACTCAACTGTGGAATCGGTGTAGCTTGGTGCATCAAGTACCTCGAGAATTGTTGATCTCTGAGGGTTAATGTCCTGTGAGGAGGCCAACTTTGACAGCTCGTCGGCTCGGTGGTTATCTGCCCGTGGTATTTTGCCGATCTGAAATGAAGCAAATCTTGACTTCAATCTGTTGACCACAGAGGTATAACGGCCAAGCTGGGGATCCCTAACTTCACAGTTGCCATTCACTTGGCCCACCACGAGCTGAGAATCACTGAAAACTTGTATGCTCTGTACCTTCAGCTCAAACGCCAGCTTCAAACCATAGATGAGGGCCTCATATTCAGCAGCATTATTGGTGGTCTAGAACTTAAACCTCAGCGCGTGCTCGGACTTGAAACCATCAGGGCCCAGTAACACAGCTCCAGCACCAAATCCTTCGTCATTAGCAGCTCCATCCACATACAAAACCCAGAATTGGTGTTCAGGTGCCTTTTCTTTCACAGCCGCTGGGGCACATTCAACTAGGAAGTCTGCCACAGCTTGGCCTTTTATAGTCGTGCGCGGCTGAAACTTAAGGTCATACTCACTCAGTTCAACACTCCACCCGATAAGCCGACCAGAGAGCTCTGGCTTCTGCAGTATTTTCCTTAGCGGGAAATCAGTATAAACAACAATCTGATGAGACTGAAAATAGGCTCTCAGCTTACGAGCTGTGCAAACCAACGCAAAAGCAGTCTTTTCTGCTAGCGGGTAGTTCTGCTCGGCACCTTATAACACCTTGCTCACGTAGCAGATAGGCTTCTGGTTCTTATTCTCTTCCCTTAATAGTACCGAACTCACTGCTTCTTGTGTGACCCCCAGATAAAGGTATAAACATTCTCCATCGACAGGCTTGGACAGCAGGGGTGCGGATGCCAAATATCGTTTGAGCTCGTCAAATGCCTGTTGGCATTCATTGGTCCACTAGAAGTTCTTAGGCTCCCGCAGAGCTTTGAAAAACGGAAGGCACCTTTCTGCCGATCTGGCTATAAACTTGTGCAACGCAGCAACACTGCCCGTCAAACGCTACACGTCTTTGACAGTCCTTGGTGGTTCCATCTGCTGAACGGCCTCAACCTTCTCTGGATTTACCTCAATTCCTTTCTTGGATACCACGTATCCTAGGAATTTTCCCGACTCTACAGCAAATGTACATTTCAAAGGATTTAGCTTCATTTGTGCTCGGCGCAAATTTCAAAAAGTTTCCTCCAGGTCGCCAATGTGATCCTCAGCTCGCACGCTGGTGACTATCATGTCATCTACATATACTTCTATGTTCCTACCGATCAGGAGCTTAAAGATGGTTTGCACCAGCTTCTGGTATGTTGCTCCAGCATTTTTGAGGCCGAACGGCATCATGACACAGCAGTAAATTGCGTCACCAGCGTAAAAAGCTATTTTTTCCTGGTCGTCTAGCAACAACTGGACCTAGTGGTAACCCGAGCTTGCATCAAGAAAACTCATCCTTTCATGTCCTGCTGCCTGTTTTACTAACTTCTCTACGTTTGGCAACGGGTGAGGGTCTTTTGGGCACGTGTCATTGAGATTGGTGAAATCAATGCACATCCTCCATTTGCCGTTTGGCTTTTTGACGAGCACAGGGTTGGAGACCCATTCAGAGCATTCCATTCTTCTAATGAAGCCTGCCTGTAACAGCTTTTGTATCTCTTCGTCAATGGCAGCTTGCTTCTCAGGGCTAAAAAGGCGACGCTTCTGTACCACCGGCCTCCTGGTAGGGTCCGTGTTGAGCTTGTGTACTGTCAATTCTGCCGGGACACCAGGCATTTCATCCATAGTCCACGCAAATACGTCCTGATTATTCCTCAGGAATTCTAAAAGTTC